CAGCTGATCAACCGGTAATGGTGATGGGATACTACAACGACGACAGCGCTTCATACTGGGTCTTGCGCGTTCCCTTCGGCCGCACTTGGGGCATACGTGGAACTATGCACTTGGCCAAGAATGTTATGGGAGACAGCACGATAGGCATCTGCGGCTTAGGAACCGTTGTGGGCGCTTTCCTTCCGCCCAACTATCAGCTGTCTGCTGTCGAAAGCTTGCCTCCGTCGTCTTTCTGCTGACGGTAAAGAAATTCAATAAAAACATGTTTAAGATGATCATCTGTCGCCGCATCATTGCGTGCGTGTTGTTAGTGACAGGTGTGGAAATGGAGGGAGGCAGAGCCCATGGGCACTATTGCGGAGTAACTGGTGGGCTACGAATAGGCTTGTTCCATCTCGAACAACTAGGCTACAACACTTGTAAGAAATCCAAGACTTTAAAAATGTTTTTTTGCTTTTCCCACACGCTTCTCCTTCACACTTCGCGCTGGTGAATTTGCTCGCGAAACAACCGGTTCGCCCCACTTTCCAAAAAGCGACGTCGGACGAAAAGGGCTGAAAAACTCAATAACCACCTTCCAGCTTCTGGGATATCAGTGAACTTTCGGGTGTATATCAGCCACTGCCATAAAACCTTGGTGGTTTGTTCACCTGTTTGTTCATAACGCACCAACAGAAACAACAATGCTGCGCACCGTCTTCGCGGTCACCCTGTGCATACTTGCCCTTCAATGCTACTCTGCGGCTGCCCTGGCCCCGCACCTGGAATGCGAACCTTTCTGGGATGCTATCACCTACTGCAGCGGTGAAAGCGCCGTTGGACTCTGGGAGCGCAGGTGGTGCGAGCGGTGCTGCGAGGGCCTCTCCGCTCAAGACACCGGCTTTGCCAGTGACATCTTTACCGACGGAGCCGCCTCCCCCGTTTCGGTCGTCTCCGATTCCCAGTCGCTCGCCTTGGCGATGAGGAGGGCTTCGGCACTCGTCAGAGGTAGCGCTCTGCAATCTCTCAATAGGGCGCACTACGTCGCCTCGGGCAAGCGTGGCAGCAACTACGTGCCGTCGGACGACAGCCAGACTTTCGGACCCAGCACTTGCAGAACCTCCGGAGCTTCGTCACTGGCACGCAAACCTGCTGCTCTGGTCTTGCTAAAGTTAACGGATTCTGCGTTGTGGGGTAAAGAGGTCATCTGATGCGGAGGTCGAGGAGAGAACTCTTGACCAGGCCCTGGTTACCGGTTATGAGAGGTGCCACCACCACTGGTCTCTGAGTGGCCCGGCCAGTTACGAGGGCAACTGTTTCATTCGCCGTCTGTCAACCCACCTGCCCACCAACTACAAGATCCACAACGTCGGAGGTCAGGGTAACTGCAGCGGAGCCCCCGTTCCCGTGAACGATACGCTCACCTTCGGCTATGCTGTTCCTTCGCGAGTGGATGTCGATGGCTTTGTCAACATTGACAAGTGCCAGAGCAACATGAACTGGTGCCACTGCTGCTCTAAGAAGAAGCTGAGCCCTCTCTTCGGCAGCTTCGAGTACGCTGCGGGTCCTGGCCTCGACATGGACGCCTTTGACGGACT